ATTCCAAGTTAAAACCCAAGAAGCGGAAGCTGCGACTTGAGGGAAAGCAGTCCCATGAGTACTCATGTTTCTGTTGTGGAGAAGCCGGGGAGCTTGTCATGTGTGATCGCAAGGACTGTCCCAAAGCCTACCATCTCCTGTGTCTCAGCCTCACCAAGCCACCATACGGTCAGAATAACACACCAGATTCCTCTATGTGTCCATGCAATATAAATACAAGAAAAGATCCATCTAAAGGAGACATATTTTGCAAAATCATCTTTTAAGACCTTTAATCATGTTATAACATTTTTCTCCCTCAGTAACTCACTCAAAGTTATATCTCATTCATGTTTCTGCAATCTTCATAATCATTTTAGGTTCTAATTTCATTTTTCACCTACCTCTTACATTCCTTTTTTTCTTAAACTGATACACGTGACATGAGCAGAGTTGCATATTCATATGGCAACATTTTTGAAAGAGAAACTGTTGCTTACTACAGTGAGCTGTAGCTAACTGTATGCGAGTCTGTCAGCACAGTTTAAGTAGCACTGCTCTTTTTTGTAATGATATTTATGGTAATTGAGGAGGTGGAAATCCACTCTGCATGTATAATCCAGATGTCAACAAACATGTTTCTATCATTAAATTGTTTCAGATTCATTTTGCTATTTAAAATGTGTAAAATAATAATTTATGTGTGTCCTTGATCATATAGCAATAACAATGAATTAAACCTTTTTTTTTTACAAATAGTCCTGTGAAAATGTGTGTGTGCAGGGCGGTGGGAGTGTCCGTGGCACGACTGCAGCGTGTGTGGGTCTCCAGCCTCTTCATTGTGTGAGTTCTGCCCTCGATCTTTCTGCCCGGAGCATGAAGCAGGGTCCCTCACAGTCTCCTCACTGGAGGAGCGTCTTTGTTGCTCCAATCACAACCCTTTGAACCCCCTGAGCAGCTCCCCCAGGCCCACCCAGCACCCCCTTCTGCCCCACAGCCACACCAGAGTCAAGGAGGAGCCCAATACGGAGTCTGGCCAGCATGACTCAAAGTGACTTTGATTTTCCTTATACCTCATGTTATGTGTGCTCCTGCTGGCTACAACCGTCCTATCTTCCTTCCAATCTGAAGAACAGAACAGATTTCAAAAGTTTCGGCGCATTTCAGATCAGTAAACACCTTTTCAGTGCTGTGGAGAGGGCAGAGTGATTGGATTGTTGGTGTGGGACCCTAGCAGGCATCATTGGCGCTGTATACCTCCTCCTTTGCTATGACGTTCTCTGCAGCTCACCAGTGCCCTTTGAAGGGCCCAGAATTCTACATTACATTTATTTTATATTTTTACAGTGGTGGGACATAACTTGTCAGCATACCTTTTATCAACAATGAGAAAAGGAATTGGATTTAAGAAAGTTAGAACGTTAGTTTGATCAGCTGAAAAGCCTGCCTTTCTCTGTTTCCAACATGACCAATGATCACTCCTGACACCATCTGTCTTCATGTTGAGCTTTTCCCCAAAAGAAAAAAAAGTAAGGGGGAAAAGCTTCAGGACCACTCTACATTCCAACTCCTGGTTTGAATATACTTATGAGTATAGATGAATATAATTATATACAGTATCTATGTTTGTTAATGTTTACAGACAGATTCTCTCACTTCATCTCAGTGAGTGGTGTATTACGTTTGTTTTGGTGTTAAGCATTACACAGACCGCCTTGTGAAAATAATCATAATAAGGTGAAATATTATGGTATATAGTGTAATGTTTTGACATTACAGGAGTTCTTGTGACTTTTATTTTGCCAGTTTCACTAGCCATTGCATTTTGTACATACTGTAATTGGCTCATATTAGTGTAAAATACTAGGATTGGAAGGCGGAGCCGCTGTGTCTTTTTAAAACAAATCCTTTTCATTTCCACCATACATTTAACTGATAGTACCATTGTAGACTGAAGGGCCCAGATAGTGAAAACTGGTGCTGTCAAAGTATTGTTAATGAGCATAAAGGATCACACGATTCTGGCTGCACTAAAACTACTGCTCACATGCACTCCCATTCAGTAACTGTGTGTACTGTGACTGCTTTATTTTCTTTTTCCCTTTCTAATTCGCCATACTTTTCTGAATAGCACTTTCACACTGCTTGATACTGAACACCTAGATAGGTCATGCTTATACAGATATATAACATAGGTGTTTAAAATGGATACCTCTTCTTCATGTCGGGACTTAAACTGTGGTGTTACCGGTTTCTCTTGACCAGGAGCGTGCTGGGCGCTAGGCGTGGTACTGGGAAAAGTGGCCTAAGCTTTTTGGGACTGGTGGTCTGATGATGTGTTACAGGAAAGATGAGCCCTTGATGTTTGCAGACAGTGACTGAGGAACTTCTTTTGAACTAGGTTGGGCTTTATACAGACACAAGTCAGTATCGTGTACAAAGGCAAACTTATGTACAGTGTTTTTATCGCTCATCTGTCAAATCAAAATCTTTTGTATTCAATGCACCGTCTTTTGTACCATTTTTTCAGACACTAGTGCAGTAATCTGTCTCTTATCTCCATTAAGGTGTAAGTGACACTATTTAAAATGGTGAGTTTTACATAATCTATATGTAGTCATACAGTTCTCCGTTTTGTATAATTGGTGTAAGGACTCCACCACCATTTCGTATAAGGTGCTGCTCATGTATTTTGGTTTAATCTTTGGTATTCAAAGCAGTTCAATGTAGGAATGTAGATTTTTAATTTTTTTTGGTTTGATACAAATTTGTACAATTTAGGATTCACTCTTTGACTCATTATCTGACAAACAAGTGTTTGCCTTGTCAATTAAATGGCACTATTTGGTGTCCTCTTCTGCCCTAAAACAGTGTTTAAACCGAACTATTAAAATGTTTAGTTTTGAATAAAGAAGGGTAGTGGCTTAGGAACTGAAAAATGTGCCACATATCTGAACCAATGGAGGCACTACGGTGGAAAGAATCATAGACTACCGTAAGCAGCTACTTCGGTTTAACTTAATATTAGCAGAAGTGGACACTTCTGTACTAAAACAGTAACTTCAAAATATCATTTTGACTGTTCTTTTCTGTTTTGTAGTTCTTTTCGCTTGGGCGAATTTTGAAGGCACTTTTATGTTACATAAAGAAATGTTGTGTTAAACAACTAAACTTGAATTTTTATTTTTTTTTAGAGCTGACGTCATTGCAGTCATGTTTGTGATTAGCATTTCAAAACAATGCCTCACTGGTAGCTTTAGTTTGTTTTTGATCTGCTTAATTTCATTTATGTTTGCCATATTAAACATGCCAACATTTTACTTTTGGACAAAGCTTCTGCAATACCCGACAGCCTTTTTTGTTTTGTCTGCACACACAACTTGGTGCCACTCTAAGGTCCATCACAGTTGATGCAACAGCAGTATTGTTATGCCTATTTTACACTTAACTTCTGTTACTGTGTTGTGAATGATTTGTTGGTTTATTATTGTTATAGTGCCCAGACATGTTTTTGAAAATAGTGCATGTTTAGTCTGATTTAAGTGTCCCTTATGCAACCTGAAGGTTTTCTAAATGCCCAAGGTTTTACTCAATTCGCATTTTTATAGTCACTTAAAGAGCAGCCCCATTGTCAAAGCAGGGCATGTTTCAGTTCACTGTGATGTCTTTCTGTGCAATGTTCAAACCTGTCTTTACGTTTGTCATGCTGTCGGCAGAGGAATAGTGTTGAAATAATAAATAAACATCTTTATAAGCACCTATCTCTTTTACTTATGGTAAAATAACTTACAGTAACTGGGATCATATTTATCTCTTGGTGTTGCTTCAATTTAAACGTGGATGAACACAAAACATGTTGCATACGTACTGTTTAACCTGTGTTAAAGCATACTGCATATTGTTGAAATCTTGTAAATAGTTTGCATTGAACTTGCATAGGATCATGTTACTGTGCGCGTGCTCTTTTGCCTGTACAATTCTGCTTAATGTGTGTGAGTGTTGCAGCGACACTCTTTTTGTACATTACTGTCTTTTTATTTGAAGATATTGATTCTGTCTTTTTTCATTCTAAAGTGAGTTTGAAGAGTTCAGACATGCCTGAAGTTTGACTTTAATAAAGGTGTACTCTGTCTCAGTGAAACTTGTCCTGGGCCAAATTTACACCACATAACATTTTATAAAACAGTATTCCAATTCTCTGTCTTTGGGAAAAAACTTGGCATCCTTCATGACTCCAGTGTGGGCTTTTCAGCTGACTAATGTATGATTTAATTGCAACTACTCTGACTAATCACGATCTCCTCCTGAAGACCTTTTTAATTCCTATGCTTATGTATTTAAAATTAAATTGCACAAACCAATTTAAAGGTGCACTAGGGGAAGGGTCCATCACCTGCTTGCTTCTGTAGAAATGGTATTGCTTTGTCTGGAATGGTGCATTGTATGGGTTAAACCTGTCCCCACATTAGAAACAACCAGGTGATGTCCTCCAAGTTACAGGTCAGATCTGTAGAGAAGTGACCCCACTTACAGCATGATTTTTTAAAGGTAATTCTGAGCAATAAAACTGCAGCTGTAGAAGTGCAAGATAGGTAAAGGGATGGAATATTTCAGACAAAGCAATATAATCTTGATGGAAACGTGCAGGTGGCGGACTCTCCATCAAAAAGGTTACATAATGCACCTTTAAGGTTGCCTGCCATTCTTGCCAGGCAACTTTTAATGCCAAACGTTGCGGCGAGCGTGAACTTGACGTGGCATTTTTAGCAACCTTTGTGTATTCACCATAGACTGTAGTGTATAGTGTTACAGCCCAGTGTATCTCTAGAATAAATCACGTTTTATGTAGTTGCACATCAGATAAAACACATATGCACCAGTTTAGGAAAATATGTAGGCATTACTTGAAGGGATAGCTATATTTAAAAAAATAAAGGAAATTTAAAAATGTATACTTGTAGGGTTTGTAGTTTGTATGTTCATTTATTTTGAAAGGGTCTATTCGGAAGTATTTGCGTTATCTTCACGTAATGCTCGTCTCTTCTGCATCTTTCACACATTCAGGTGATTCACTCTTCCTCAAGATCCGAAAAACCAGGGCCTAGTTTGTACAAATATACAAATATGGTGAGAAATTCATCGTCTCTTAAATTCTTCTTTTCCTTTTTTATGTCCTTTGTAGAATGCGGAAATGTGCCAGATGTCTTGTTTACAGATGTTGCTAGCATGTAGGCTTCCTCTGTTGAAATCCTTGATATAGCAGACTGCCGCTGCTCTGTTGTCCTGTTCTGTTTCGGCATTTAAATTGTACTACAATGCGGAAACAAGAATTTGCATTAAATAGAAATTAGTGTCAAACTAAATTTTAATTACACTGATGCAGCATTATATAAAGGCAAGCTGACCAAACACCTGTCAAAACTATTATAGACTTACAAGGTCATTGTGCGTGTGTTCACAGCTATGTAAACCTGTAAAGTATAGGTAAGAAACAATTTGTTAGCCACAAATGCGCTAAAATTGTATTCCTTATGTTTTGTTTATTTATTTATTATTTATTTATTTATTTATTTATTATTTGTAGTATTTACCCCAAATCTTCTGTTGATAATAATAATGATAGAATTAGGCTAAACATGCTGTAAAGATTTACAAATTATTGTACTTTTACTGTAGAAGATATTGTGTGCTGATGACTAAAGAAGACCAGCCTGTACACAAAAATGAAGAGGAGACGACTTGATGGTTTCCTCTTAGAGGTTTTAGTCCGCATCGGACTTCTGCTTATTTTTCTGTGAGTTAATCACAATGGTTCATCCTGCACCTGCATTTGTAGGTGTGTTATAACTTTGTTAACTTATTAAGTTTGTTTACTCAAAGTTGCTCTGCTCTGTTCATAGTGTGACCGAGCAGCTTCCTCCTTTTTCCCGTCAGATTCAAGCAGAAGAAATGTGGCTCTACAAATTTCACCACGTTGAAGTAGACCATGTCCCCACCTTGCATATGTTTGTAGGTCATCGCATTATATACCCTGTCAGTCTCTATCATCCCATATCTTTTTGTCATATTGTTCCAAAAACATTTCTTTATCATCCTCCCTTCTTTGATGCAGGTAATCAAACACAAACTTTTTCTTCCAGAGTATGGCTTGTTTCACCCCACTTCTTGTGATCATGACTTTCACAGTCATGAAGAAGACTCAAAAGGGAGATGTGAAAGAATCTTGTCTTGGTAGGAGTCAATTAAAATCTGTATATTTTGATTGGTTTTGTTTTGTATTTATTTTTTTATTTGTTATTCTCACATGACCTGTCTTCAGCTCTGACTCTGACTCTGGTGTTAAATGGTGTTTTCACAAATGTTATCAAGTTGATTGTTGGCAGGTAAGTGCTACAGTGAGTACTTACTACCCCTTGCTATGGCTCCAAAATGATCCATTTATTGTTGTGTGCATTGGTTTGTATGCAGGCCACGACCAGACTTCTACTATCGCTGTTTCCCAGATGGAGTTGAGAATCCAGAGCTGCGATGCAGTGGCGACCCTGACACTGTTATCGAGGGCAGGAAGAGTTTCCCCAGTGGACATTCTTCATGTAAGGCCTATTAATGCTACATCATTCTAATGTGTTGAAGAGAAGGTAGCTCGTAAGATGTGGGTACAGGATGTCTCAATCACCCCAAGTTTTTCTCTCAGTTGCGTTTGCAGGACTGGGGTTCACCTCTTTCTACATCGCAGGAAAACTGCACTGCTTCACTCCAACAGGACAGGGCAGATCATGGCGTCTGTGTGCCTTCCTCACCCCTTTACTCTTGGCAACAATGATTGCCCTGTCCAGAACCTGTGACTACAAACACCACTGGCAAGGTCAGAAATAACACAACATGTTATGCAGTTCAGTCATAGAATAATGTACGCTTACTTGTTAATTTGTTACAGATGTTTTGGTTGGTTCGATCCTGGGCCTTGCATTTGCCTGGCTGTGCTATAGACAGCACTACCCTGCTCTTCAGGAGCCTGACTGCCACAGGCCTCTGTGTCAAAGAGAAAATGTACCAGCTGCACAGGAACGCAAGCTAACCAACTTCAGCTACACTCTGCCTCTGTAAAACCACTGCTGTGGATAATGTATATTTCTATTTTTACGCAATTCCTTTTTTTTTTTTCAAATTTACACTGTTAATACTGATAATTTTTTTCTGAACTGTACAATGCACAGTATGTATAAAACATCCAGGCTTATTGAGTAAGTTAATCATTTCCAGACACCATCAATGCAATGTTTTAAAATCTTGCAAATGTGCAATTAGTGTTTTATCCTTACATGCAAACAGAAAATGTACTTTTTATGCTGGATTAGGGATCTGTTCTGATTGTTAGATCAATGCCAGATATTGTGAACTGAACCCAAGTCCAAAATCCAAGCTCTTATGTTTATGTAGCACTGTTTCATGCAGTTACCTGTTCACAGGTGGTCAGCACAGCAGCCCTTGATCTAGATAACACTTGAGACTGTTTTTTTCTGAGCCAGGAAGAAATTATAATTGATTCGTATTTGATATTGCTCTATATTGACATAACATATTTTACAGGTCAATGCAACTTTGCTGTGGTCAGTATTTAAACAGGTAAATTACAGAAATTTCAGGCAAAGTAGTACAAAAAACAAAACATTGTGCCTTTGTTTTCTACTTTGTTGTAATACATTGTTATGAAGAGCACTGCATGTTAGTGTATGCTCTCTAACATGTCTTGTTATACAAAATGATGTTTATTTTCTGTTTGTTTTTACAAAAAAAAAGATGCACAAGGTTATAAACAGGCATGCTGCCTTTCTTTACCTCCTTACCTCTTTTCATACCATTTTGAAATACGTGTGAATGTTCGGTTTACATACATTTGTTTTTCTTTTTGGGAAATGTTTCATCTGTGTTATGATTTCATATATCATGCATTTTCTTTTGTTTACATAGGCCTATGCCATTTGAAATGGGATAACATTGTTTTATGGGTGAGGTTTGTGTTTTCGGGTCATTGATATAAAGCTGCTTTTTCCTCACAATGGTTTTTATTTTCTTCCAACTATTTCCAATTATTGATCGAATTTCTTAATAAAGTCTTAAATTATTTCTTACTTTTTTTTTCGTTGATGTGGCGTATGACGTAACTCACAGCTCGTTTCGTGATTCGCCGGACGTGACGCGCGGATTTGGCGCCACATTTCCAACAAGGAAACAAATATTATCCAGGAGCTGTCCGCTTTAAGCGAAACTAACATCGGCCCGATTTTATAGTTTTTTTAAGTTTTGTTGAACGTTTTTATATTGACAGATCAATCAAAAATGTTTATCGCGGACATTAGAAAGGAATTTTATGAAGTTGTGGCCAACCAGGTAAGCAGTTTATTTGTTTATCCACAGTCGTGCGCATAGTCGCGGTCCAATAATATGAATAACTCTCATTGATTTTCCAGCGAGTTGCCCTCCTCGTTGCAGCAGATATTGACGCTCTTTGCGCTTGTAAGATATTACAGGTAAAGGATCCGGCCTAGTTATACGTTGTTTATTCATAAGCACACAATTCGCAATTTCTTTCATCCACTCGTCAAAGGTAAAATTATACACGTTGTTTGTAGGCTCTTTTCCACTGCGATCAAGTACAGTACACTCTGGTGCCTGTTACTGGATGGCAGGATCTAGGCACAGCTTTCCTTGAGCACAAAGAACAGGTTGGTCCTTCTTCTGGATAACTGAAGATCACACAGTGTAGTAAGTTGTTTTTAATTTTGTTCTGTTTGTGTTTTAGTTTCGCTACTTCGTTCTTATTAACTGTGGAGCTAATGTGGACCTCCTTGAGATGCTGCAGCCTGACGATGACACCATATTTTTTATTTGTGACACCCACAGGCCAGTAGATGTGGTCAATGTCTACAATGACAGCCAGGTTAACTTCATCACTAGAAACTTCCTATCCAACTGCTTTTGTATACGTGTTTTTTGTTTGTTTGTTTTTTACGTTGACTTTATTCTTAAGGTGAAACTATTGATCAAACAAGACGACGACCTCGGTGTGCCTTCCTATGATGATATCTTTAGAGATGAAGAGGAGGAAGAGGATGATTCTGGGAATGAGAGTGATGAAGGCTCAGAACCATCTGGCAAGAGGAAACGATTTGATGAGGTTTGTTCAAGCATGTAAAATACTGCATAGTGTTCGTGCCGTAGCATTAAAAGTGATATATTTTGTTTAATATTTGTCAGGGTGCAATGGAAAGAAGAATTGAACGACAACGAGCGAAGAGGGAGTGGGAAGCACGAAGGTTGTACTGGTAACTTTCTTACAGTACTTTGCAAAGTATATGTAATTAAACATTTTCTTCTTACATTTTACAGAAGGGAAATCCTCTTTGATTATGAGCAGTATGAATATCATGGGACTTCTGTGAGTGTCATATTAACTATTAATTATTAAAGAGATGCACATATCTAGCCTTTTCTGTTACTTAAAGCCAAATAATATTGTATCAGCCCATACCCAGTATCACCATCAAAAACATTATTATTATTGTTATTGTTGTTGTTGTTATTATTATTATTATTATTTGTAACTGTTATTTAGCCTTTAAGTAACATTATAAGACAGTCTGGGTCCACTTTGGTCCTATAAAAAATATGTAGCAAGATTATTTACTTGGCCAAACAGAATATCAGACAAACTGATACAATACAGCTAATATAAGAAGCTAATCTCCAATATCGATGTTGGTGCAGCCCTAAAATTAACAGATAAAATTAGCTGTTCTGGCTCATAAGGAACACCATGCACTTCCACAATATTTCTTTAGATTGTGGTTTGTCAGTTGTCCTTGTTTTTCCATCAGGCTTCCATGATGTTTTTCGAACTGGCTTGGGTTTTATCAAAAGACACCAAAGACATGCTCTGGTAAATGTTGCCTTTTTAAATATTCTGTATAGATGTTATCTGTTTAAAAAGTTTAAAGGTTACAAATGTTTCCTTTTTAGGTGGTCCATCATTGGTCTCACAGATCAGTGGGTTCATGATAAAATCACACAGTAAGAGAATTATTCATCCATGATCAAGTACAATTTTGTAGGATTTTACATAAAAACATGTCTCTTCCAGTATGAAGTATATTACAGATGTTGCTACTTTACAACGCCATGTGTCTCGTCATAATCACAAAAATGAAGATGAAGAAAACTCTCTCTCCATCGACTGTATGAGAATATCATTTGAATATGAGTATCCTTTGCTTTTTGCACATCCTGTGTTGATGAAGCAAGTGTTTGTATTGTCTGAAAACCTATGTGCCTTTTTTCAAGATATTGCCCTTTTTTTTTTTTAACAAATATCTTTAGTCTACGTCTTACTCTTTACCAGCACTGGTCTCTTTATGAAAGCATCTGTAATTCCTGTTACACGACGTGTAATTTCAAATTATGGACTCTCAATGGGCAGAAAAAGCTTCAGGAGTTTCTTGCTGACATGGGGTGAGTTCACAACTTTTACAAGCAAGATATTGTGTACAACTTTTTTTTTTCTTTTTTGTTTATTTTAATTTAACAAAACATTTACAGTTTACCTCTCAAGCAAGTAAGGCAGAAGTTTAACTCCATGGACATATCAATCAAAGAAAATCTTAGGGACATCATTGAAGAATCTTCCAATAAATACGGGTGCATATTTAATTCAGTTATAATAATTTACCGTTGTACAAAATAGATTCTGACTGGCCCTATTTTCTTTAAAGCATGAAGGACATCCGCATCCAAACATTTGGGGTCCACTTTGGGTTTAAGAACCGCTTCTTGGCCAGCGACATGGTCCATGCTACAGCTGCTGTGCTGGAGAGCACGGAGAAAGACGAGAATGACGGCGATAACTTCATTAAAGCTCTTGATTCCCTGTCCAGGTGTGTGAGATAAAAATAAAACCTTTTAAAAGGATAGTGGCACTTATAAACTATTATTTTATTTATTTATTTATTGCAGAAGTAACCTTGAAAGACTTCATTCAGGTATTGACTTGGCCAAAAAGAAGCTGATGGCGATTCAGCAAACTGTGGCAAGCTGCATCTGCACGAACCTCATCCTGTCCCAGGGCCCTTTCCTCTACTGCTATCTTATGGAGGTACTTTATTACAAATATTTTACGTGAACGGGTAAATTATATTTTTTCAATCTTTTTTTTTAAACCTCTGTTTCTTTTTTTAATAGGGGACTCCCGATGTGAAGCTCTTTTCAAAGCCATTGGCGCTAACACTGCTCTGCAAGTACCTCCTCAAGGCTTTTGTCCAATCTGTAAGCATTTTAAGACTATACACATTTAAAATTTCATCCACTATACTTATTTTGTTTATGTGAATCAGACAAGAAATAAACGCTGCAGACTGCTGCCTCTGATTATGGCTGCTCCAAAGGATATCGAAAAGGGAACTGTCATTGTGGCTGGAATTCCACCAGAATCGGAAACATCAGATAAGAAAAAGTGAGTCCTTTTTATTTGTAAAATGAGGTGCTGGAGTAAAAGATTGAACATGTCATCCATTAACAGAATTGTGTTGTAATTATTAATGTTGTCTGTGTTTTTACATAAGAAAAATATATGCATAATCTTTTGTGTGTGTTCTCATGACTTAAGCATAAAAAGCATAACATAAATCTTTTTTTCCTCAGTTTTTTCGGTCGAGCTTTTGAGAAAGCAGCAGAGAGCACCAGCTCCAGAACTCTGCACAACCACTTTGACACTTCAAGTAAGTGAAATGGTTCATTATGCTGTTGAGTTAATTCAAGCAAGTGAAATTAACACAGAAAGGCTTTCTCAATATACAGAATTTTTTTTAAGACTTCACTTCACTTTATGATGTTTGGACACTAGGTGGTGCACTTGTTCAGCAATTAAAGTTGACAAATGGAATTTAGATTTTTTTTTTTCTTGCAGTAATTGAGCTGAAAATGGAGGACAGAAGCAAGTTCCTGGATGCACTTATTACTCTACTGTCCTGAAAACACTTCTGTCTGGAGTCTCTGTACTTGTATATGTGTAAATGTTTTTAATTGCCCTTTTATCCGTTTATATGTCAGAATTGCATTTTTTTATGAATGATGTTTTATGTATTTAATAAACTTTTATGTTCTGACTGCACTTACTGAATTATAATTTTTAAACTTCATTTTGAAAAGTGAAGTTGCTATTTAGTGGTTTTAATTCTGTTAGGTGTTTTTTGGCAGCAGATCTTTCATCAGTTTAGCATTTCTTGTTGAGCAATATTCTTAGAAACCAGTTGGCCCTTAGAGTAACAGAAGTTAAGGGTTTTTCATTGGTAAGGGGCTACAGGGAGTTTATTAGAAATCTACCCACCTTCATTCCAGTCATAAATCAGATACCTGGCAGAGTGGGATTCTGGCAGTAACATTTGGGTTGGGCCAGAAGCTGATCCCAATTGATCTCTTTTTATGTTGCTTCAAATAGTTGTTGAGTTGAAACTTGAAAACTTGATGGTCCATTTTTATCATTTTACTAGTAGAGGGTCCTCCACCTGCTTGTCTCCATTAATATAACTGCTTTGTCTCTAATATTCCACACTATGGCACTGAACTTGCTAATAAAAATGCATTCTTACTGTAATCTCACATCTGACCTGTAATTTGGCCTGGTGGCATCACATCCACCCCTGATAAATGGTATAATGTGCAGTGTTGGGAAGGTTACTTTTAAAATGTATTCCGCTACAGATTACAGATTACATACCCCAAAATGTAGTTTGTAACGTAATCCATTAAATTACTTAAAGTGAGTAATGTAATCTGAATACTTTGGATTACTTAATATTGTCATGTTTTTTAAAACTACATGACCACATCCTGAAAATTCATGTTTGCTCTCTTCAGATTGGCCCTGGTTTAGACCTGGTTTAGTCCTGGTTTAGTCCTGGTTTAGACCTCATTTTAGTCCTGGTTTAGTCCTGGTTTTAGTCCTGGTTTAGTCCTGGTTTAGACCTGGTTTTGTCCTGGTTTAGACCTCGTTTTAGTCCTGGTTTAGATCTCATTTTAGTCCTGGTTTAGTCCTGGTTTTAGTCCTGGTTTAGTCCTGGTTTTAGTCCTGGTTTAGACCTGGTTTAGTCCTGGTTTAGACCTTGTTTTAGTCCTGGTTTAGTCCTGGTTTAGCCCAAAATGTGAAAACAAGAAAATACCACCGTGTAATCCATTTATTTCAACAAAGTAACTGTAATCCAATTACCACTCCCTGAAACAGTAAATGTAACTGAATACAGTTACTCATAATTTGTACTCCGGTACATGTAATCTGTTACTCCCCAACACTGATAATGTGTAACTACTATTTTCTGCTATGGAGATGTTATTGGAATGTTCCAGACTATGACATTCATTAAAAAACTTTATAATCATACATTTTTGTGAGCTGTGTTGCCTCCACAGACTGACTGACTTAGTTGGCCAAGTGGTGTCATCTGACTGTCTCTACAGACCATAAAGCCATACTGCCAGGCAAGGCTACAAAAAACTCTTTGACAAGAGGGTGGGGGTAACTGATTAACTGAGAATGGTAACATGAAAATCAAATGAAAATCTGAATAATTGTAAACAATACTGGTTATAACCTTGGTCCACATGTGAACGTTCAGTCTTCCTGCTGGTGCTGCTGACTGGAAAGGTGCGGTCTGTTCTACTCTCTACGGCCTCATTAAGATCCTTATCCCCTCTGCTCCAGGATGGGGCCATGACCTTAAAGTGGTGTGCTACAGGAACAACCAAATGGACTGGTAGCCCTGGGGTACTCATATGTAGGGAAATCAATGCAAATTCCCCATTGTCATCACCAGAAAGGTTGTGCGTCATAACTTAACACAAATTCTAAGAAGCCCTGCTCTTACCTTATTGTTTTCATCCAATCATACAATAGGTTTATTACTTTCTCTTTTGTGTGTTTGTACCTGTACATTTTGTTATTTCTCTTTGAACTTGTAATCTTTTCTTCAAGGCGCATTGGGTACTATTTGTTCTGGTCTAGGGCTTGTGTCTATAGAGAAGTTATTGCATTTCCTGAAATATTTCGCAGTATGGGTTTCAACAAATTATTCATGGAAAATATGGGATGGTGGATCCTGTACCAAATAAATAAGATCTGACAGAATACAATAATGAAAGACTGGACTTTAAAAAAAAATTTATTTAGTTTTGGGACATTTTAGGTACCTATTTACCCATGTCTGTGTGAGTCTGATTCAGGCAGGGCAGCTGTGGTACAAGAGTAGTAAGACAGAAACGCAAATAAAATAAGTTAAATAAAATGAACTTAATAATTATGAGAATATACCAAAACACACACCGCATGTCAAGTATTATAATGTATATTCTGTCTGAACTCAAAATAATCAATACTTAAATAAAGGAAGATTGAAGTTATGTTTTATTTATTGATTTTCTTATTTTAGGCATTTTATTTACACTAATATTTGTAAATATGAAGATTAGTAAGAAATGGTGCCTGCATGATAAAATAAAGAGAGGATCAAATATTGAGATCTGATGTGTGGAGTTGTCCAGCCCATCACAGCTTTCTCTCTCTCTCCTCTTCCATCAATCACTGTCTCCGCCCCCCTGGTGCACCTTTGGTGAGTGGGGCCACTGGCCTTTCCGCTGCTCTGGGTCCCTGGAATGTGGCGCTAAAACACACATGCACAAACTCAGTGCTGAGGGGCTGTTATGAGGCACTCACGCACTCATGTGTCCTGAGCTCCATTTACACAAAGGTGCTTTTCACAGGTCTATGGTCATGAAGATAATAATGATACGGATTAACACATTTGTGTTATCAACAGTACCTTAAATAACCCCTGACTCTTGATTTTTTCTAGATTTTTGTCAAACTGCCAAATCTAAACAGCCAATGACATCCTCTTAGCCTTATAGAGGTTGATAGTTGTTAAAATTATGGCAATTTTCCATTTCCATCAATGACCTGCAGATTAAATTAGCAAAAGATTATATTCAAATCTGATCAGTTCATGATTGGTATTGGACATCACCTAATCCTAGGACCCTTTCAAAGGTCAGTAGTTGTTTATTTCATGAGAGGCTGAACTAATATTACACATCCAGCTGTTTGTGTATTGGATAGTTCTGGACAGGCACTTACTTTACTTGTGGAGGTCCTTTAGACACGACAAAAGGAGGAAAGCACTGGTCATGTGCAGTCAGAAGAATATAGAATTGTTGAACTTGAAAGAGGTTTGCATTCCCCAACTGCCCATGTAGAGGTCTTAATTTAAGTCCAGCGCACGTGTGTGCGCACGCGTGTGTGTGTACGTGTGCGTGTGCGCACATGGGTGTGTATTTGTGTGTGTGTCTCTGTGTGTTGTATTATGTTAGCTTATATTATGAATAAATTTCTCTGTGGTAGGTGGCTCAGTCATACAAGATCTCACCCTCTGCAATGCTACTTTCTTAAAAAAAAAAAAATACACCATCTCAGTACAGAGATAAAACACTAAGTGTGGGTGATATTTTGGGTTTATTTCAAAACCATAATCAGATTTTTGCAATCCACCAGAACTGTGATAAAATGTGCTTGTTGTGCAAAGGTGAAAAAACTTTAAAATCAACCACTCTAGTGCACAAATATCAACACCTTGCTACTAAACTCAATATTCAAATGTGCACATATTTAAGACAGCTCTATGAATATGGTCTTAGATGATTGCCCACTTTTAACACAAATCATTGGACAACAAGTATATCCATGAAAGATGCTACAATGAGAATGGAAATCCGGTTGATGTTTTGTTTGCATACCAGCTGATTAGCCAGATCCTTATTTCACCTGGGGGACAGAAAGAACTCTAATGGTCAAGATTCAATACTAGATTTTGAATAAACATTGTAAACAGTTGCCAACCGTGCCAAATCAGAAATGTCTCCCCATCCGCCCCAGACATTCCTAAAGCTGCCAGGCGTCATCATCTTCTCAGTGGTGGATTGTCAGTCACCACTTTGCTCCATCTAGCCTTCTTTAACAGTCAATATACTTCTTTTGAGCTGCTCTAGTTCTGGTAATAAGATTTACAGAACTCTGGAATGATGTCATTTAAACAAGCATTCACAAGGAGTACTCCTCATATCAGCATATTTCCATGCTTAAACCATCCAGAAGCACTATATTTGTCTTGTTGTTAGGAAAAACATTTCATCTGGTGCTGTATAAATGTGGTTACAGATATTATGCCCCGATATCTAAATATTGTGTCGTATTAGAGCTGAAATTGAATACTTGGTGAATCTTTTCAGGTTATGTGAGGGCAGTGGTTATATTTAAAGTTGCACTTTGTATCTTTTCTGAAAGGGATGGGAGACAAGTAGATGGCAGCCTGGCAGATCACCTGCTTGTCTCCTTGGAGATGGTTAAACTCATCTATCTTGCTTTTAATCAATTACATGTTTACATTGCTAAAGAAATACCTTTTTTTTTTTTTTTTTTTTCACTGTGAGCAGGCTCACCTTTCCATAGATCTAACATTGAACTTGCCCTGATGGTGTCCCCTGCTTGGCTCCAGGAAATGTTTAAAGAACACATATTGCGTTGAACCTGGTATATTGTTATAATCTATAATACCTGTGGATCATTATATTATAATTTGTACATTTTAAATCATAAGATTCATCTAAAACAAGTTAATACAGACACAGCAGAAAATGTCAAAGAGTCATTAACTCCAGTGGTTACCTGCACACCAAGTCAGCAAGTACTGATTTTTTTCATTTGTTCTAAAATGACTACGCAATGCTGCTGAATTTTATGTGTATTAGCTGTTATGAAAATAAAATTAGAGAATGCAGTAACTAGAGAGCAGTGGGCATATATCGGTGATGGTGAAAACGGGGGTTAATCAACAATATGTTGTCTTGAAAATAATAAGTGATTAATGTTTGCTTAAACATGCTTGAATCACTCCAAATACAACTTTGAAAGCATAAGGGGAGACAACTATAACATGTTTAAAAGCTCTGATCTACTTTAATGCCATTCTGTAGTACATAGATAGAAACCGGTGATGAATCATGAGAAAGGTTACACCTTTAATGTTTATTGATCACTTTCCTTTTTTAAATTAAAGTGTTATTTCAATTAGTGCTGTGTCTTCGGTACTTAGATGTTGCCCTGTATTCTAATGCATTTGATCCCTTTGTGTTTAAATCTCCATAGTGAGCACACAGTGAGCCCAGGCTGCCCCTCCCCTCCACACCCTCTGAGTTCCTTCCTGTTTCCCGTCCCACTGTCCACTGCACAGGAAACCTGCCTGTGTAAAACCTGTGACTCACAACACGAGCTGTAAAATGTGTCACAAACAAGAGAAAGAGCAAGGTCTTTTTCTGATCTCCTTTTACAACATGTTGACTCTACCATTGTTCCTTATGAGGTCTTTAACTGCACAAACATACACACATGTCTTCCCCCTTTAACACCTGCTAACTCTTGGCTTTACTGTGGATGAGTAAAGACTCCTCTGCTCTTATGCACCTGCTGCTGGCTGAGTCACTCAATGACATATTCCCCCAAAACCCATTGTGTTTCAGTAAAATAAACTTTTATTCTCAAAGAAGCACTATCTCTATATAAGCAGGTGCACTATGAAACCAGAAAAGTTATATAGAGCGCCTTTAATTTGATACATGTATATACATGTATGTTATATATTATATTGTGTATTGTATTATGTACTGTATGCTGCCTGAAATATGAATTTTATTCAGGATAATAAGGTATCTATCTATCAATCTATCTAATAAAATAAGAACTATGTATTATAGAACAATGACATTTTAATTTAAAATATTTTCTTTTAAATATTTTTATTGGAAGATTGAAACAAGCTCCACAAGGCATTAAGGCCTATTTTTTGTATTATACAAAGGACAACACTGACACATAGAATATAGTAGAAAATAATAAAAGGAGGGTTATATTATGCATACATGGGACTCAAAAAAAAAGTTTAAATAGTCACAATCATGGTCATAGTCAATAGTCGAGCCATACCATGGGAATGATCAAAGGAGAAGGAGGTTGTGGACTGGTGACATCACATCTGGGACATGAGTGGTCTCTGTCTGACCCTGAATCAGATGCTAAAAGAAAGTGAAGCTGTGGAGCGGTCCTCGCAGCCCCTGAGGCCCAGCAGGTCAAGTTTAGAGGTCAGAGAGTGAAGTGGAGGTATGGGCTTTGTCTATGAGATTCTCAGTGACATAATCACAGAGGAATGAGCATTCCTGAATATCATTTATATTTAGGCCCATTGCTACAACCTGTGATAATCTATAGCCCGTACTCGGGCTATAGAACTATTAGTACAAAGCATTGTGAGTGGTCAGTAGACCTCAAAATGGCACCATAGGATACTGAAACCCTTAAAGACTTAAGTGAATATGGGGAGTAGAATGACAATTTTAGTACTGTACAAAGTACAAATTTGAATGCAGAACTTTTTTGAGTTTTGTTTGTTCCTTTTTCATGTACATTTAGAAGTGAATTATTTATATAACATGTCAAATTTAAATGTCTCCAACTTTGAGACAATAAATCTTATCTTTAATTACCCTATAAGTACCTGTTATGTTTATTGCAGTTGTTCAATATTTATGCACTGACAGCTCTTTTGCAGGGACCATGTAAACCTTTGTTGCAAACTCCAGACTGCAGTGTGGCCAGCTGGAATGTCAGCTCCCAGGCCTTTTATTATTGCATCCATACCACCACATTATAGGCTCATGTCACTAGGCAACTGCAGGTCCCAACTGGTTTCCATGGAGAGTGCCCATTGAGTGACGTTGCTGGCCCTGTTTGCCTCTCTGTTTGTGGGTCTTTTTAAAGGTGCACCCCCAACTCTGCACACACCCCCACACGGAGCCGGCCGGCGCTTCGTCACTGTGCAAGACGACTGAAGGAGTGGAACTAACAAAAAGACAAAAACTTCTCTCTGGGACAGACCGGGCGGACCTTTGTTAACAGATAATTATACAAGAGCTGCTGAGAAATCACTGGATTACTGGAAATAGAGAATCAGACTAATTAGACTAAGGGATAAAATACTAATTAAATGATCAATCTGATCTTAAACTGATTCACAAAATTGGCTATGTGTTAAGATGCAAGCTGCTACACTATAAACGTTACATCACCTGCCTTGTTTTAAAAATAAAAATATAAATGTATTATTGCATGTTGATGTAATTTATTTTTAATGTCATTCACTTTCAAACTTTTCTGATGTCTCCATGATATGTTATTGAGTTGTCTAGAAGTTTTTGCAGTAACTTCTCAATCTGGTATTTCAATGTTAATGCCCAAAGAAAGATACTTAAAAAAAAACAAACACATGCAGTCTTACAGTAGTTGGTTGCCTTGCCTTGTGGTGTCTCGTGCTTGTCTCCAAAGGTTTAATGACACACTGAGCAACATTTCAGGCAAAGCAAGCAACCAAGCAAGTGGCAAAACCTTCACCAAGGATATACACAATACACCTATATTTTCCCATAATGGCAATTTTTTATTGGAACGCTAGAAAAAATTGTCAGTTCAGTGTGATTTTTAAAATCAGCTATACCCACTTAAAATAGCATATAATGACAATTATTATTTGAAAGTTTATTAAAAGTGTGTTAAAGTTTCATTGTACACACTTACATTAGTATAGAATCCTTGTTTCTGTTAAGAAGTCATATGACCTGCTAAGATTCTTAAGTGACCAGCAAAACAAGTAATCTTTGGAAATCCAGTCATGAGCCACATATTACTTGTTGTAGGCTATTTATTTACTGAAACAATAGAAACAAATTATAACACGGATAATATGTTGTTTATTGCAACTGGCCAACATCCATATTTACCGCGTTCAGATGTACAAGAAGTTTTTGTGTGTGCCTGATGAATATATAGCCGTTGACTTACGGGAAGTTTCTGCGTAGCACTAATTTGGACGCTATTCACTGGGTATGACCTAGCGGGTGGGGGTGCTATGAAAGGGGTGGTGGGTACTGGAGTATTGTGAACTGAACAGCAGAGCCCCACTCTTTCAGAAAGGGCATTGTCATCTGGATTTCTATGGCTAACCAAAATACTTTCTCCCGCCGTGGGGGTATGTGGAATCATGGTGGGAACACAGACATTACGCACTGCCAAGCAGGACACCGACCGTCACACGCCTTGATGTCACTCCTTAATCCATGTATTTAGACAACATGCTCAGTTTAATTTTAGAGAAGGAAATAGAATTGGATCTTTTACATGTGAATAAGCAATCATGAGCCTTCATCAACATTAAACATGGTTTATTTAAAAGTTTGAGAAAGTATCCAACTGCAGGAACAATGAATTACGCGGGTGCCAAAGTAGTCACGCATTATGCCAACCAGGTCGACTGTAATTTAAAGAAAACAACTTTCGCGCTTTAGTCCACTTACAATGTTTACTTCAGTACAAATGACCAATTAAGGCATTACGCGTGCGAGCGCTTTTCCTTTTTTGTCTTTTGCTACGTTCATATAATCATCGGAAGTTGCACTTTGTAGGAGTGCACTACTGTACAACAATGTGCTGACAACGCATACCAGAGCAAAAGACTAGGCTATATTTGAAAACAGATCATCTGCATTATAAACATACAAACGTAAACAATTCATAACTAAGATTTTGGATGACATACGAAAGTACCTATACAAGATACTCGTTTATGTAACAACAAAGTCCTTGTCAAATGTCCAGTACAAAATTATTAGTCCAGAGCAAGTGGTCAATACAGATGAGGTGCATCCAGTAATTCATATATTCAGAGAAACTCAATAGGTGCAAAAATAAAGTCTGGCATTTTAAACAAAGTTTTTAAGAAGCTGCGTCTGGTCTTGACGCGTCGCTAGACGTAATTCCGTTTGTCATATTCTCCATTCTGCGTGGTTCTTTTGGTTGGTGCGTATTTGGCTGAATATCCAGAATTACCACCGGATGGACACGAGCAGCAGAGCAGTGCTCCACCGATGAGCAGTAGCGCCGTTGCGGCCCATCCAATGTAGAGTGCTGCGCCAATCTCTCTCTTTTTTGACGCGGGGACCTGCGGATTGTAGAAGTCCGATATGATGTTATTGGCCATCCAGCAGAGCGGAACCAGCACAAACAGGCCGCTGATAATGTAAATGACTCCACCTGCGTTCACCACCCGGGCTTTTACGTACTCTGTGCGGATGCAGTTGGTGCACTGCGCACCCGCGATAACCACCATCAGCCCCAAAACTCCCATCACGGAGGAGATGATGGTGAGCGCCCGGGCGGCCTGCAGGTCATGGCTTAGCGCGAGGACAGAGTCGTGCACCTTGCACTGCATCTGCCCCGTGCTCTGCACCACACAGCTCATCCACAGGCCGTCCCAGATCGTTTGCGCAACCACGATGTTGGCCTCAATGAAAGCCGTTACTTTCCACATGGGGAGTCCGCACGCGACCATCACAAGCAGCGAGCCAACGACGCACAGCGACAGTCCCAGGATCTCTAAACCGGCCGACACCATATTGCTCCAACAGAAAATAACGTATCCAAATTTAGTAAAAGACACTTTTTACAGAAAGTAATGTGTTGTCGAGATAATGATTCTTTCTGTCCCCAGAAAAGTTTCTCCTTGTTACTTGCACATGGTTCAGGCTTCAGAGAAACAGGGAACCACAGCTCTACTGTCTTTGTTAGCGAGGTGATGTGAAAACAACTGGAGCCACAGTACCATCGGACCACGAATAGCCTCTCTGCGAGGTGGGGGGTGTTTTGGAGCGCAGAAAAAACTTTAGTCCAATCAGCTGCGACCGCATCCTCAGAGGACCAATGAGAGTGCTGGGAAGTTGCGAGGCTGAACAAAGCGGTCCAGAAACCTTTGTGCGTTTGAACAGTTATTTACAACGAAATGAGCGAATAGACAGTGAGGCATTTGGGAGGGGGGGTCCAAGGTCTCTTAAAGACACGCCATGGATATAACTTGTAGCCTACGTGATCAATTTCACAGATAGTTTACTTGCCCAAGTCGTGCGTAATGGGCCAACTGGCTACTCCTCATCACTGTATGATTGCGCACCAAACAAGTAGGGACCAGATGAAAAAGAGAATGTATTAATTAAGTTATTTAATTGTTATGTTAATAGGCAGACATGATTTGGCTTGTTATCTTATCTTACACCCAACCCCATCTCTAATAGTTTATTTCTAATGTAAATATTTGCTTAGTCCGTGACCTTTAAACATGTGGATTTTATATGACGCTTAAATGCTCATACATTCATACTGGATCAGGCATGCTTGACTCGTCCACATATTCCACTGTAGCACTGATGCAGTACCTGAGCACTGGACAGTATGATCTTGATAACTCTTGTAATAGAAGAGCTCAGCCAGAGGAGGGCGAACTTTCTGGAATCATTTCCGGATTTTCCTTCCTGGGCTGGGCTGGGACTTCAGGACAGCGGCGAGAGGAGACCACTGTTGGTGAATAATATTTCAAAGTTACACGCAGGTAAGCGCGTGCAACTGGTTCATTTTTACAAGTTATCGGAGTAAGTCACAGAAATAAGAGAAAGACTGTGTATGCCAGTGTGACACGGTCTGACAGCAACTTGACACCAGCCGCGGTAACAACATGGGTAACAACTGTTGCTGCTAAAGTTTGGCATAGGCTTCCCAGACCAAGCACAGCGAAACTGCAGTGGATTACTTTACTTTTTATAATAAAACTAACATCGACTGTAAAGATGGGTCATCCTGTTTAAGAGCTCTTAACCTGTAGACAAAATACGGTTTATTTTATTTATTTTGAAGGACCCACTGTGGAGACTGGGTGTGGTGGGGGCCTTATTTCTCAATTCCAGTTGGCTATTTATTTAGCGTATTGACTTTTGGCTACTTTTTTTTTTTTTTTTTTTTTTTTTTATAAAAAGTATTTGTACTCTATTTAGATATACAGACATACGTTTTACTACAGGACACAGGTTGTAAACACACCACTGAATTATGTTAAAATTATCCATGTCTAATACTTTATTCTGTCCATTCGTGATTAAGGCATCGTTTAAAGCAGGACGATATTAGTAGAAAATACATACTCTCTGTTATTACCAGCTTTCAAAATGAATAGTAATCCTCCTTAAAGCTATTTCACATTTGATGTCTGCATCATTGCCATTGTGTGTTCAGATTGAGTAATCTTTTGACCTTTTATATAATCTTTTTGTAAAGATCAATGGCAAAAATAAATTATATATTCAGACAGTCCCACAATAACAGAGAAACAATGGCACTTTGTAGTGGCTCTGTAATCTGGAGGCACCTTGCTCCTATTGAACAATTATCATCCAACTTCGATTGTATTTTAACAGTGAAGACATTAATTATTTGTTTCCTTCCTTATTTGAACACTTTTTTTTGTTTTTTTAAGGTTCCATCTAATATTAAAGGTGCATTATGTAAATCCTCTGTGGTGGGTCTTCCACCTGCTTGTCTCCATGGCAATGTTTTTTGCTTTGTCTGGAATATTCCATAGTTAGGCATTAGATTTTTTTCTATCTTCAAGAGACAAGCAGGGGCCACCATTAGGCCAAGTTACAAGACAGATCTGTGGACAGATCCTGCTCATAGTAATTAATATTCACTAGCATTAACACAAGCAGGTGGCACACCACCCCCTCACCAGAAAACTTACACAGTGCATCTTTGTTTTTAAGTTACAGATTTAGCTGACGGAGCTTGTTCAGTGAGTGGCAATTGGATTACAGTTACTTTGTTGAAATAAATGGATTACAAAGCGGTATTTTCCTGTTTTCACATTTTGGACTATTCCCTTTTTTTCTTTTTCTCGGTAATTCCACTAATTGCCAGACACTAAACCAGGTCCAAACCAATACTAAACCTGGTCTAAAACCAAGTCTAAACTAGGACTAAACTAGGACTAAACTAGGACTAAACTAGGACTAAACTAGGACTAAACAGGACTAAACCAGGACTAAAACCAGGACTAAAACCAGGACTAAAACCAGGACTAAAACCAGGACTAAAACCAGGACTAAAACCAGGTCTAAACCAGGACTAAACCAGGATTAAACCAGGTCTAAACCAGGTCTAAACAGGATTTAACAGGACTAAATCATGCTGTGTGGACCATGTCTTCTCCTCTTCTATCAATAATATTTTTAATTTGGTTCAGTAAAGTCTGGGCTTTTCATTTCCTTTTAGCAGACAAAACTTCTTATGTGAAGATTTCCTCGTCTTTGCTTCTCTACAGCAAATCAAGTAATCTAAAGTATTCAGATTACGTTACTCACCTTAAGTAATTTAATGGATTATGTTACAAACTACATTTTGGGGTGTGTAATCTGTAATCTATAGGGGAATACATTTTAAAAGTAACCTACCCAACATTGGCTGTGGGATCTCCGTTGAGTTGCACATTTATTTGTGCCACATTATTAAGTGTAGCTTTAATCCTAATATTCACAATGTGGGAGCTCTAACTGCCCATCTTAATCAGTTTTCACTTTTATGGCTTCTTTCCAGGTAATAAATCAAATCTAAACGCATTCATGCCAGAACTGTGTTTTAATTAAGGTGGCATTTTCTTTTAGTTCAAACCGCTTAATCTCCCCCATTCTTCTGTTATTGATAGCCATGTACCTGACCCGTAAGCAGCTATTAAATCGCCATTATTCACAGTATTAGAGGCTCAATTTACCTTTTTTCATTAATATCTTCACTCCAAAAAAAAAAAAAAATACTGGTTGTGTGTTTGTGTACTGATGTAACTATAACTGAAATATTGTGATATCATATTGTCAGACATCTCACAATAATATCGTGGACCATCACAATATATTCAGTTACAAGTCTCTTTGCTTAAATGAACAGTAGTGGCCAGCAATAGCTAAAAAATAAACAGAGGAAACTACATAGACCATGATTCTTTTCTCTATTTCAGTGTAGACTACATGAAGAAATAACTGTTTTAGCACATTGAAATCTTAGTTCTTAGTTCTTTGGATTAAATCTTGTCAGCACATTTTAAGAGGAAAACAGGAGCATGTTCACAGTTTAGTTAGTGTTATTGTTACATCCCTATGATTGTGGATGGAAATGGTTGCGTTAGCCTGTCCTGTTTATTAATTTATATACTGATATATATGGGTATTGGGTACAGTTATCTGTCCCACACTGGGAGAATTTCAGTATTTCAAAAGTAATGTAGAAGAAACATCTTATTTATAATTTACATTTTGGGGACTCTTGATCATCCAAAAGAGTGTGTACTGTTTTCAGTTGTTGGTTGCTATGGCAAGGTTGCTAATTGACTGAAGCTGACTGGATAAATAGGCTAAGATCATGTCCTTTGCAACATAAAATAGCTTCACATCTATTGACAGAGTTCTGTAGCATATTGGCTATCGCCCTTAAAATTCAACACAGGCTGATATGTTATTTTTGCTGAACTACTGCCTGAAGAGTATGCATTAAGCTTGATTTGAACACTGTACTGTGAAGAGATAACTGCACAAAATTTGACTACACAACTCTCATAAGTCTGTGGCAAAAAGGGGCTGTGGATGAGTTTGTAGGAAATTTTAATTACAGAATTTGTGGAAAATAATCAAAATTGGGCATCCGCGCAAAAATTTTGGCAGAGCTTAGTCGACTCGAATTTCATGTACATAATCTCAGTAAATATTTTTTGCAAAACATTTAACCTAAACATATAGCCTTGTTTGTTATTATTAAAACTTTGAAACTCAATCCCTGTACTAAGGAAATGCCGAATATGCTATGCTAGTACCACGATTATGTAGAATAATTGAATTGCATAGAATACAATGTAATTTTAATATGTTTCATAGGAATTGCCTTGTGACTAGGATATAAACCCAGATCTTTCAAAAACTACCCAGGAAAGGTACTGGCTATTTGGCTATGTAATGTCTTTATTGGTGATTAGTAGGGTTATTTTTTTTATAATATTACTTGAGCCAAAGTGGGTTTTGACCATTTGTTCCTTCCATGTTCCAATGAAAATTAAATATAAAACCTTAGAAAACACACATCACTCCATTCCAGGAAGTAGATCTGATTTACTGTAGCGCCACTATTTGGGCCAAATGCAGGATTTTAATCACCTATAAAAACAACTTTCATGTAAATCATTTGAGAAGTGTATTTGGAAACTTGCAGGCACTGGCACAATCAAAACTCAAACTAAACTGTTATGACTTGAACACGAATTACGCTTGAACCAGCTCTTGAGTTTGAACTTAACACTTTCAACTTTGACCTTTGGCTCTCATGGCTCTATGGTTGGACCAGCTCAGTGCGTTAGCCGTGCTTGGTGCTGACTGGGAGCAGCGGAGAGACGCGTGTAACTCTGACTGCTCAGGCTTCAAGTAGGAACAGCTTCAGGAACTACTGCGATAAACGACCATTGTTCTCATAGTGGACTTGATGAAACCACCCTGTCATCACTCACCATCTTTGCCCACTTTCTTACATATTTGTTTATCTGTTATCATTGTTGAATAAATTAATAAAATACCTAAAGGTTAAATGGGGTCCAGAGATTCTTAACAAAAGTTGTATAACAAGTCCATCACCATTGGGCTGCACACGTCCATGGCCTCTTTGCAAATTCTTATCACACCCCACCTGCCATGGTCCAGTGTGCTCACGATAAAACAGGCACAGTTCTTCCGGATCTGTCATTATGGGGCTAATTTATCAAGTGGGCCTGTTGCTGTCGTCTGCCAGCGCCTGTAGAGGGACTGAACTGAAGCACTCCAATTCACTCTGAAGCCCAAATGGAAACTGCTTTGGTCTAGCTTGGAAGTCTTAAAGGTCCTAGGTTATGCAAGATTGATTATTGTGACTTTAAGCAATGTTAGAATGTTACCTCCTCAGAAACATACCTGGAGTTGTGTTCTGTTTCATTGACACATGTTTGAGTAACCCATTATTATTAGTGTGTCAACATCCACAAAGGTCAAAATGGTCTGTTCCACCTTGTGATGTTATGAAGCGGTAGTTTTCAAGTTAACAGCAACATTTTATCTTTAGTTCAGTAGAGACTGGCAATACCAGTTCTGAATTCCTCCAAATGATTCTAGTGAAGGTGTATGGAGTTCAAAAACACAGTGGAGCACTTCCTGTCTTACCAGATGACATCACAAGGTGGAACAAAGTGTTTTCTGTTAGATATAAGAGCTAGATTTGTGAGTTAAACGTGTAAATACTCAATGAAACAAAATATATTGTGAAGATGGGCAAAAGGAAGCTTCACCATTGGTATTTTATTATTCCCATATTTCAGTAACATTGTGATATACAATTACAATGTTTACAATACTTTTAATTGTATTAGATTGAAGAACTGTGAATATTAATTACTAATTTGTTTGGTTTGATCTGTTTCTCACTTAGGCTCAGACAGATCGCCATGTCGGGTGAAAAGGGAAAGGTAAATCAAAACATTTAATTCTGATTCGATGTAAAAACCTTTTAAAATAATTATGCTACAGTTGCAACCATGTTTTAAATAAAGTCACTCTTTCTATTTTAAAGCATATTCAGGGGTTATCAAACTTTTTGAGGCCAGGGACCACTCACTGGAATGAAAATATGCCAAGGACCCCCTATCATCATTTGCAATGGCATTACAATTGGTGTTGGTGTATCCATCAAATCATTGTATGTTTGGGATAGGGACCCTAATATATGGCCCGACTTTGAGAATCACTGCTTTATATTGCCTTACAGCATCAGCCTGGTTATCCTGTAAAAGCAGGTATCAACTTTATTGAACAAAGCATGTAGGACAAGCTGTAAATCCCATATTTGTGTATTGGCAATAGTTTTGAATCATCCCACTCTAGGCAACCGTAGGTAAACATACTTAAGATGGTGAGACTATTCAATGTGATGGTGATTATGACCTATTGCTCTTGTAATCTCTTGAAAACATACTTGTGCAGGCATCCAGAAAGGATATCCTGTATAAATACAAGTGTTTCATTATGCTCCATTTATTGCTTGTAGGAGTTTCACAATTATAGACATCATCATTAATCTTTTTCTAGTAGTTACACATAAAAATTTTACAAAAACCTGTGAGATCAGTGTTTTTCTCAAGATCATTAATCTAAGTCACAAATTTAACAATCAAGTGTATTTCTGTTTCCTTCATTTAGTTACCAGATGCTACTGGTTATGTGGGTTTTGCCAATCTTCCAAACCAAGTGCACCGCAAGTCTGTGAAAAAGGGGTTTGAGTTTACTCTCATGGTTGTTGGTAAGTATTATCTTCACTATAGTGCATATGTATGCATGTATTGTACCTATGTATGTAGGTATGTACATATGTATACACGTTATTATAGTGCTTCCTAGTCATTAGTTGTTGATATGGTTGTATATGTTTAGCCATTTTCTAGTAATTAAAAAAAAGGTGAAATACAACTATGACATCGCCTGCAAGTTAATGGTCCCGTATCTATTACTAATCTGTTACAGATAAATTTAGCAGTTTACAATGAACAAAATGTAGAATAATCATATACATAAGTACTAAGTTGTACTAGAATAAAGCATAATGTGTTTAACATGATTTGACACAGTAGCACAAAGGTGTTTTTTGTTTTTAGGGGAGTCGGGTTTGGGTAAATCCACTCTTATAAACAGTCTGTTTCTCACTGATCTGTATCCTGAACGCTACATCCCAGGAGCCGCAGGTAAAAGTCACACACACAGGCACACACACACACACAAACACACAAATACACAGGTACACAAATATGCACGTTGTAATAATGGAAACTCGTCTGCTCCTATGTCTCCAGCAGAGCATCATTTCAATAGGAATGCTGGGAATGTTTTAGTCTTAACATGTGGCCCTTCCCCTTTTAATACTTGACGGGGTAAGACTTGGCAAGAAAATAATTATTTTCATCTTCTTTGTTATTAGGCTAATTATTTTAGAATATTTTTACAAGAATTTTGTTCAGCAACTAGCTGATTCTCATCTGGGCAATCAAGACTTAGTGAACTAGCTTTTTTACATTAAGCTGTTGTTAAAGTTAATTATGTTTCAGTATTATAGATGGTAAATATAACTCACTCATATGGCCAAAGTTAGCACCCAGAAAACTGAATATACTGATCTCTACTTCTAGTTACACCTTTTGAGCATTGTACAACATTGTTAATTTTCTATAGAATTGTTAGACTTTTCTCTATAAAGAGCTTCTATATTACACAAACTGACTCATGGAATATTTTAGACATGTTAGAATGTTGTTACCGCTTTATAAACATACCTGGAATTGTGTTTTGTTTCTTTCACACATGTTTGAATAACCTTGCATTATGTCCTAAGGATCCTAAGGATGCTCTGGTCCACCTTGTGATGACATGAAGCAGTAGTGTTTAGGTTAACCACTACCATTTCTTTATTGTTCAGTAGAGACTGGCAGTTCCCAGGCTGAAATTATCCAATTGATAAGTGAAAGTACTGAGTTTAAAACCACAATAAAGCACTTGTGTATTACCACATGACATCACAAGGTGTGTTTTCTGTTTAAGAGAAGAAGTGAGCCTAAATATGCGGGGTTTGTGTGTTAAATGCATAGACTGTATAAAAAAAGTGGACTAAGTGAGTGTGACGTCACCCATAGCGTTCAGCGCCACTCATATGAAACTCTTGATACCACGGTTACAAGAGTGAATTTGGAGCCAGGCTTTATATTTTGAATAGGATTTTTTTTTTTTTTTTTTTTAACAAACAAAATAGTGGGAAATTTTTTCCCACTATTTTGTTCAAGATCTGCAGCAATTATAGAGAGGGGCGACAATATTCTAATGTAAGTCAATGGGAGCCAGGGTCAGAAAAAGCCGAAAGTGCTCTCATGCAATCTTTATCTTTGAAACGCGGCTGCTAGCGCGTTAGTTATGTCCATTTATATATATGTACAGTCTGTGGTTCAACATGTTTGAATGAAACAAAACACAACTCCAGCTTTGTGAGAGGAAACATTATAAGATAGCTCAGAAAATATCATATCAATAGCCCTTTATCTAACTAAATCAAACAAACAAACAAATTTCAATCCTATGGCCATAATTCATTATAATTTAGCTTAGACCTGTCTCTGCTTGTTTTAACAAAGTCTTATTTTTGACAGAGAAAATCGAAAGGACAGTGCAAATTGAAGCTTCCACAGTAGAGATTGAGGAGCGAGGAGTGAAGCTGCGCCTCACTGTTGTGGACACTCCAGGGTATGGTGATGCCATCAACAGCCAAGACTGGTGCGTACTATTCACAGCTCTGGGGTGGGTGTCTGTTGAGGCTGCTTTCTCACATGAAAACTGGGTCTAAACATGAAATTAAACCTGGACTTGAAGAGGACTAAACCAGGGCTACAACAGGACCAAATTAATCATTGTCTACATCAAGACTAAACAGGGCTCAAGCAAGGACCAAACGATAATCAGCATGAACCATAGACTGTATATATAAATGGACATGGATAACACACTAGCTGTTGCGTTCCATATAGGATGTCAGCAGCATTATAGGTGCCACCGACTGCATCGACTCTGGCTCCAATTCACTTTATAATGAAAAACTGTCATCCCTCTCTGTAAATGCTGCTGTCAGGCTCATCATTTTGGTCTTAAAATGTTCGTTTTAACCCACTCTGCATGATCCTGATGCTTCTCTTACCCTTTGTATCTCTTGATTTCTCCCTTTTCTCAATCCCTCCTGTCCTGTCTCATCCTACCCTCTCCTCCTCTTTATCCCTCCCTCTCTCTCTATCCTTCCCTCCCTTACTCCTTCCCTCTCTCCAGTTTCATTCTACACTCCCTATCCTTACTGTGCCTATCCTCCCCTTGCATTCCCTCTGTCAACATGTCCTTTAGGTGTTTTTGTTATTCCCTTGTAAGTGGAGGTAACTGGCCTTTCTATGACCTCCTTTTATATTTATTATAATGCTGAGCATCTATTAGGTCTATAATAATGATAAAAATGTAATACTGACCTGATTCTCGCATACTATTTTGGTGAAATCTTCATTGTGGTTCAGGAATTCTGTTTAATGCAGTTCTATGCTCAAACACTGATAGTTTTCCCCACCCACTCCTCCTGTTGGTCAGGAGTCGGTCATGAGTGATTGACAAGTGGATTCAATCAATGTGCACTTTGTTCCTCCCAAAAGTATTTTTACATGATAAATTATTATACTGTGACAAAATTGTTACCGTGATCTGGAATAAAATGTGTATATCTCCTAAAGGCTGCCACACATTACAGGATTTTTCCGTCTTAAAAAACGATATTTAAATGTGTGACACTGACACGCGGAGAGTCTTATGAGATTTTAAATCTCTGATCGCTAATCTGCAGCTTTACCCTGGTCCGTGTACTGCATGGATGTAAACAGACACATGAGGAACTACTCTCGCATTTTTACTTTTTATGCTCTGTTTTATTGGCTGTTAACGCAGTGTTGCTGATGTTTGGTGGTTACCATATGACAGTGTGGCTCAGAATCACAGTGACACCAGACACATGTTGAGGGCAACGGCATCAAAATCGCATATATGAAGACACAGTCAGGTCACACCTCCCCGAATTGGAGAAATCGGGCAAATTCTCCTCTAGTGTGTAGCGGCCTTAACTCTATCACCTAGACTGAATAATATGTGCTTTCCTTGTATCAGCTTCAAGACCATCATACAGTACATTGACAACCAGTTTGAGCGTTACCTTCACGATGAGAGTGGCCTAAACAGAAGACACATAGTTGACAACCGAGTGCACTGCTGCTTTTACTTCATATCTCCTTTTGGACATGGGTAAGTCTACACTGCACCTCTGTTTATTTATTGTGGTTCTATCTTGGTCTTTTTGGGATATGCTGTTAAATTAATTTCAACATGTCAATGATCAGCTTGGGATCATTTATTCAAGTTCAAAAATGATTCAGAGAAGAGTTTTGACTTTTGCGAAATTAAAAGACATTTAAAAGTTTGTCATTTTATGAAATTAAGACATTTGTTTTTCCTTTTATGACTAAATCAGATCAAATAGAACATTATGATTGGTCATTAAGAGGAAACGTGCCAAGCTCAAGCCAAACTTTAGAACCTTACTCTGCTTTGTACATTAACAATTTTCCTTTTCAATTGTAATTTTAGTCCATAAAAAGAACAGGAATATGCATTAATCAATTAGTCATTAATGGGGAAAATCCGCTATCATTGTAGTTTAAAAAGTAAACAGAAGATAACTTAATTAATTGCCGAGTATCAACTGTGGTAAATAGCTTTATCACTGTTCAACATCTGAAATTTTTGTAGTGATTGTTTCCGTACGTAGTTAGCGTCTTAGCCAACAAGTCTCCATCGGTATACTATCGGGCTAACTGGGAATTTGTTGGAAGCACACAATTTCAACCTCAGTATTGATTTTTTTTCCTTTTTCTGTTTTTCAGTTTAAAGCCTCTTGATGTGGAGTTCATGAAAGCTATCCACAGTAAAGTCAACATTGTCCCAGTCATTGCGAAGGCTGACACCCTGACGCTGCGGGAGAGGGATCGTCTGAAGCGAAGGGTGCGTTTTTATGTAACTTTTATTATTAACAACCTGATGTGTTTCATGGGTGTTGTAAAGAGGAGGGTGGGACTTGGTTTAAGAGGAAATCGTAGGTGGATAAGTGTTGGAAAGATACTTGTACGAACATAGAGAGAACATCTGAACCTGTCCCAGATACTTCCTGTTTGGATTAAGGCCATATATCACTGTCTGCCTACACGTTCTTCAGCGATCATTGAGGAAGAACTACTCTGTGTTATGTTATAGGTACTTACCTCTAAACAATACAGTCAGCTGATAACCTTGTCCATTTTAGTTGCCAATGACTTTTTCCTCTGCTATTGGGATCCTATAAAGAACAGCCAAACATTGATACCATGTTCTGGGTATGGGACAAATAACATACACATGCCATTGTATCACGTAACTATACTATCAGAGTTTGTACTGGGCACTCTGTTAGGCACTGGCAATCAACTGTTGTAACTTTCTATTAGACAGTGAACCCAGACACTGGGGCTGAGGGGGGGCTTCAGTGTCTTTTCCAAGGAACAGTCCAAAACTGTGGCCCCCAGAAAGGCAGCACATGGTAGAAATTATACTAAACTAACAAGGATTTTTAGAAGTAGTAGGAGATTTTTTGTTCAATGTCCACTGTGTAACTTTTCTGGTGGAGGGTCTGTCAAGTTCTTTTCTCTGTGGAGATGTTATTGCTTTGTCTGGAATGTTTCACACTATGGTATTAAACCTTTCTATCTCCATGGAGACCAAACCACACCAAGTTATAGGTCAGATCTGTGGAGAGGCAACTCTCTTCACAGTCAGAATGCATGTTTTTAGATATTTTGAGCTATAAAACCACATGTAATTGAAAAATGTAAGGTAGAACTGTTTAATGTCGTACCGTGGAACATTCAGAGCAATGACATATCCAAAGAAATAAGCAGGTGACAGACCCACAACCAAAAAGTTACAGAGACAACTTTAATATATCAAACTTTTGCTGAATGTGGATTTTACATCTTACACTCTGACCAGGTTGGTTAAGGCTAAGGTAAGAATGAGGTGAAAACCTTCAGGAGATTTGGAGTAGACAGAAAAGGTCTGGGAGGTCATTCTTTAATGAGGCACCTACATTAAAATGAGTAATTTTGCTTTTACCAGTGATTCATTTACTTATTAAACATGCTTATTTTGAGCTGGGAATCACTTGGTCCCTCAAGATTTGATTAGATATACAATACATGGCTCATGATGCAATTTTATCATAATATTTGAATATATTTTAATCTTCAAAACAGTGATTATGTCAAGTGTATTATATAAACATGTTTCCTTACACTAAATAAGCAACAAAATTGTAGTGTGGTTACAAAAAATTGCTAAAAGATACCAAAAAATACATACAACACAGCAGCCCATGATACCAAGAGCAAATTTAGTGTTATGCTATATAGATATGTCAATATTTTTGCACACCCCTACTTTCTATAATTTTTACCATTTTGTAATTTTAAAACCAGCCTTAAGACTAGCTGTAAAATGTGAATTGCAAGTCTAAGTTATATAAATGTTATCTAAATGCCAAAAGTAAACATCTGTTATCCTAAATTAACCTCAGATAAAGTCCACAGAAATTAGAAGAGCACGATTATTCTTTGTCTCCAAGGGATTCAAGTCCAACCCTCCTGTTGTCAGTAACTCCTGACTTAAAGCTGTAATTATTCATTACACAAGTTTTATGCATACACGACAGACTTAATCTTAACTTTAATTTAGAGTTTTGATGTTTTTATGGATTTGCATTGATGACACCACATTTTTGTAACAGTTAGTGAGTTTAAACAACTATGAGTTTGAACTATAGACCGAATAAAGAAGTGCATTAAGGGAGTGTGACGTCACCCATAGCGTTAGGCTCCAGTCAAATGAAGCTCGCTATGCTAGCAGTTATAGGAGGAAATTTGGAGCAGAATTCCATATTTGGAATAAGAATTTACAGAGAAAATAGAGAAATAAGGACCATATAGAGCAGTTTAATGCAAGAGGGCTGACAATTTTCCAATGTAAAGTCAATTGGAAACCAAGTCAATGGAGTCGGAAACATGAACACTTCCTACTTGGAACACGGTGGCTAGCAGGTTAGCTATGTCCATTTATATAAACAGTCTATGCTTTGAACTGATTACATGAATACCAACTGTTGTGCCAAGTGTTGTTAATGGCAAAGGAAATGTAAGGGAATAAAACATTGTATCTGGTCAGTACCAAGGTCACTGATAAATTATTGCCCTTAAAACAAATGTAAACCAATAATACAATAAGACAATTGCTACCAGGACAGAAATATTGGGATTTCCTGTTTTTGTTAAGTGTAAGTGTACGAAGTGAACATAGTGATTATGAAATCCATTAATCTTTTTGACTGTGTCCAAGGAGTATTTTGCTGGAGTATTTGTTATTTTGATCAGATTAAATGAAGTGGCCCTTATACTTGCCTGGTTCCTGTTTTACACTGCGGTTAAGTGGAGCTGGTTTTCCTTTGAGTCCAGAGCCCAAATTATACCGAACCTGCCAAAAATAAGTCCAAAGAGACGATGAGCTGATTGATATGTCCTGCAATTATTATGAACAAATTCTGACATTATTAACTTAGTTTTAAGTTTTGTATTTAATACATATGTGTATTTTTATAGGTACCAGATACAGTTTACATGGACAGTAAAAATGAGATTACTAGAATAATCAGATCATCCAGTATATAAAGGGCCCATATTATACCATTTTCTGTTGTGTTATAATGTTGTTTTCTCATCGCAAACATACCTGGAGTTGTGTTTCATTCATGCGTGTTTAACACACAAATCCTGCATATTAAACTCTGTTTCACCTTGTGATGTCATGTAGTAATAAGAAGTTCTCCACTGCGTTTTAACCTCCACCTTCAGTAGAATCAATCATTTTCTGGAATGAATGAATGAATTAATTTATTAATGTATTTCTTTATTAATTATTGCATTTATATAGCACCTTTCAAGACACCCAAAGCGCTTTACAGGTCAAGATTCATTCACTCCACACTCAGTGGTGGTAAGCTACTATTGTAGCTACAGCTGCTCAGGGCCAGACTGACGGAAGTGAGGCTGCCAATCTGTGCTGCGCCATTGGCCTCTCCAACCACCACCATCACTCACTCACACACCACTTTCATATTAGGCAATGTGGATGAAGTGCCTTGCCAAAGGACATAATGACAGGTTTTGCCACTAGCGCCTCACTGTGGCACCTGATGTTCCCAGAGGTCTTGCAGCCAAGTACTAACCAGGCCTAGCCTTGCTTAGCTTTTGAGATTTGACGAGATCAGGCTTTGACAACCGGTATGGCTATTGGAAAATGGAATTGTCAATCTCTACTAAACAAAAGGTAAAAGTTAACTGTTAACATTAAAACTACCACTACATGACATCATAAGGTGAAACTGATCATTTTGAGCTTTGATTAATAATAAAGTGTTACTCAAACGTGTGAATGAAACAAAACAGAACTCTGGGTATGTTTTTGATGAGGTAACGTTCTTACATGGCTTAAAACTCACAATATGCATATGCCCTTAAACCAGATTTTTGGTGGGTATTAACCTGCACAAAATAATTCTTAAAATCAAAAACCAAGCGACTTGTGCCAGTTAATTAGTGGAGTGTAGTTTTTTGAGTAACAGTTGTATTGGGAAGATAAAGTATAATACATTTAAAAATAACACTTTAAATATTTAGCATTTTCTCTTTGTGTTAGTTTGTGTTTGCATAAATTTCCTTGTCAAAACCTGTATAGGTAGGTCAGAAAGAATTACTCACTTCAGATATCACTGTTTACAGGACATCTTAATAATCAGATAACTCCAGAAATCAGATAATGATCAAATTTATTGTGTGTGTAAACATATCTACTGCTGTTTGCCCGACAATAGAGGCGAACATTAAAAGTCAGCATGTTTATTGTTGTTATGGGAAACCACTTGAATGTAACAATAAAAGTTTCCTGTTATGTGTTAACTGCTTTACTGACAAGACACAACCTGCTGCTCAGTGTGTTTCAATTGAACCAAATGAAACTCCCATCGTTTAACTTTCATCCCCTTTAGTTGTGCTTCCTGTGCCTGTTCCCGGCCTCCTCTGCTGGCAATGCCTCACTCAACCACTCTGCACTTTCTTCCTCTGCTTTTTGTATCCTCTCTTTTTCATTTGCGTTAATGCCAATTTCCTTCAGCAGGTCGCTGTGCTCTACAGCTCATAAATTGCCCTGAGGAGGGTATATTGAATGGCTGATCCTCTCAGTCTGGGACCTTCTAGTCATATCCTGTGTAGGGCTTAAGTCTAAACCTGCTTTACTTTTTGTTATGTGAACATAGCTCTGGACTTTAAATGTGATGTGTACTACAAAAACTGTAATCGCTTCTGTCTGGACAGTAGGTTGTCAAAACAAAACAAAAAATCCCATATCTTCATACTAAAACTTGTATAAAAATATTCAAAATATATTCAAAAATATGATTAGGGCAAACTAGGGCTTTTCTTGAAGAGTTTTGAATGGTCTTCTATGCAGTATATGACCACATGGTAATATTTAAAACCTGCTCCTATTTTTGTGTTGAAAATAACATGCTTTTGATACTATTTATACTGACAAAGGTGTCATGGAATCAAGATTACTAGTGAGTATAGAACCTTTTTCTTGGTGTTTGAAATTTTACTATCATGGCAACACTACTGTACAGTATTTTCCATACTTATAAGTCAAATGCTAAAACAACATTCTTTGTTATAGTCTTTAATTGTTCAAGTGACCCATAGGTCACAGAAGCCAGTGAACCCAGTCTAATCACTGTTCTCGCACAGAGCTGCTGCCAAAAGACAATAGTCACACTGATGTACCCCACTGTTCCTTTCCTTTTGGAGGCGCTGCCCATATCTTACATATTGTCTTCATCTTCTGTGGTGCATCCCCCATTCAGACTGGTG